TAAATTTAATTTTTGATTACTTGCACTGTTATATACAATTTATTTTTCAAGATGTGACTTAACAAGTAACTACATCATGTGTGTTGCCATGACTCACCTACTCAAAGCTTGAGGAAGGCTGGAAATAATAGGTCCATAACCTTGAGCATTGTCATACAACTCAAACAGTGGTGCTGCAACTAGCTTGTAGTTTTTTGGTACAGCAAATAATGCTAAAAAAAAGTTAAAACTTTATAGCAACAACTAGGAAATATAAATACTTGAATGTGTGATGTATTTATGTTGAGTCATTTCCTTTTCAATATAGTATTTGTTTAAATTGATTGAATCCACATAACTAGTCTCCACTTAAAAGAAGAGACTATATTTAATTAATTAATTTATTTTTTCTAAATAATTTACAATCCCATACATCCTGTAAATGATTAACAATGGGTGTTGGGTAGAATAGACAAGAACTCATCTAATACTCATTCCATCTAGCCTGGAAAATAACCACAGTTGGTAAACAGGATCCAGAAGGTGATGACACAACAATGTGATGAAGGTAAAATTGAATACAAAATCCCACTCAAGAAAGAAACATTGGCAAAAATATACAGAACTGGAAGAGTTGGAAGAAAAGGGGAACCTACAATGATAAATTCTGGAGTAAGCCTCACTTGAATGCAATGAACAGTTGGAGACAATGGGTTTGAGGATAGATTCTACTGAGGAGATGCCATTGAAGGTGTATCAAGTAAGCCTGAATAGAAATGGATGGTTAATGGTATTTGCTAATTTAATAATTTAAGGCCCCATTAATCAGTTACATAGTTTAATTGATTAGTACAATGTTCCTCAAACAATGACACATACAAGAAAAAACAACAACAGAAGATGCTACCAGTCAGTTGCCTTCCCTCTAGTCAGCAGTTCAAAATTAGCGACAGTAGTAGGTGGCCTTAGTAGCTTTGCCATAAGCAAGTGGCATTACTTTGATTACTTGGAGGGTTGAAATAATTGGTAACCTTAATTTTAATCATTTGATATTTTCATGACAATCAGTTTAATCATAATTTTGATTTTAATAGATTGTTGGAATAATTGAAAACAGTAATAACATGAAACAATAATTTCAATTAGTTGAATATTTTCATAACAATTGATATAATCAAAATTTCAATTACTGAATTGTTGGAATAAAAAAAAAATCAATGTAATCGCTATTCATAGGTAAGTGATTACACTGATTAAATCACTCATGATCCATGAGAATTGCCTCTTACAGAAAAACCATCCTTTCCGAAACACAAAGGTTGTAGTTGGCAGGTGGAGAAGAAAAGAGAGAAGTATGCACACCTGAAACCCTGCAGATGACAAAGTCAAAAGATATGCATGAAAAGTTCCTAAAAAACTGTTGATTCAAATTCCCAGATGTACTAGATACTGAATAAGCACAAGACTTGAACTCATGAACGATCCATCCGAGAAAGTAAACAACTGAATGTGAGTCAATGACTGAAGAACAACTGAGGATACTCCAATTATCCATATAATGATGAAAATTGATATTTGGTATATGTGTAATGGTTAGCTAATGCTTTGATGTGGTGTGCTGAAATCAGACCAAAAAGAGAAGACCATGAACTGATAAACTACACCTCAATGTGAAAAAAACAAAGAAATGGATTAGAAGATGGGAGAATCAGGATGTGTAAGTAATCCTGACATCCATTTTTGTCATAAAAAAACCTATGAAGAAATTTGTGTAAGATTCTCACAAGTTACCTCTTGAATAGAGAAATATCTAGATAAATAAAGATTGAGATGAGAAAGATCTAATACCAGTCTTTAATCTCCTGTAGTTTTTGGCACCACAAAAAAGACAAGAGTAAAAACCTATGGAAAATATGGAGCATAACATTGATATCTATTTATTTTGTAAAAATTTCCAAACTCTGAGATATAAAATTTGAATAAAAATTGGGAGAGTCAAAATTGGAAGAAAATGATGAATATGAATAGAAAATTCAAGTTTGATGAATCCATGGATCATGAAGCCACAGATGAGCAAATGATCCGAAATGAACCCCAAAATTCAGAACGGATGAGTCGTCTAGAAAAAGAGTCAATTATTGAGTCATAAAGATCTACCTTGATTTCATCCACACTAGGCCACACAAAAAGTATGAGTATATGTGTCGCGTATTGACAAACATTATAAGCTGGTCTATTGAAGAGGGGTGATAAAACCCTAATCAACTTCTGCTAGCAATGTTTTCCCAAATGGGTAACTAGTTGGTGTAAATACCTACAAAGTAAAAAAACAAAACAGTGATATTTCCTTTCAAAGTCAATTGAAAAGAGAAGTGATGAGATCATGACTAAAATAATCAGAACAAAAATGGCAAAAGGGTGCAGAAAATGAGTCACAAAACAAGACAAATCATAATGAGTTAAAGTAAAACCACTTGAACAATGCACCCAACAAGCAAACTGAGGTTTAAGAATTTATCAAAAACTCAGTTAAAAGTCAAAATAATTTAAAATTGTTGAAGGCACTAGGCCTTACAAAAAAAAATCTACATGTTTCAGTGTGTCACAGACCCAGCATTATTGTTCTAAGAGGGACAAGAACGTGAGAAGGAAAATGAAAAGTGGAATACCAAGTCTATTAGTATAGAATCAGTTTCTAAAAGCATCTGCAAACAACCCAAACATCAGGAACTAAATCATCATACATGACACAAGCACACTCAGATGCAACAGAAGTTGGTTCAACATTTAAAATTGAACATATCTTAAATAAAAAAAAAAGAGACCAGCAGAAGTGTTACCAGGATTATGGCCAGCAGACAATGAAGAAAAATAGGCCTGAGCAAAAGATAATTTCATTCAAAAACAAGAGAAAAATAACGAGTGCTACAGAAATTCAGCATCCACACAATCGTGAAACCCACGAAGAACACCAGAATGATATTAAGATAAACAGCTTTTCTTAATCACAAATTAAGTAAAAAACATATGCTCTTGAAAATGATGTACATGGTACATTGAAACTAGTCAGGTAGTTAACTGTATATTCTATAAATTGATTTTAGTCAGTTAGTGTTGTTTCTTTTGTGCTTATAAAAGCTGCTTATCTTAATATCATTTGCTGGAAGCACAAAATAATTCTTTACTTGATTAAATAATGCATTATCTGCAATGCCTAAAGAACATTTGGATATTTTGAGTCACACTGCATTTATTGACAGCATGAGCACAAACTCAACAAGGAAAAGCTTTCAGTATTTTATAAGTATGACTATCTAATTTGATTGATCATATTCTCTTTGATTTTTATATATACAATATATTACCTATTTAACCTAAATACATGTGAGAAACAAATTAAACAGTGACATGTGACATTAATAATATTAAGCTCACAATTAAAGATAAACATTCATATTTTGTGATATTTTTAACATCTGGCAATAAAATATACTGAGGAGAAAGTCATTTATTTCAGCTTCAAAAATTTAGAGCACTGATCTAAAATTAAGACTTACTTATCCAAAACCTAGTTAAGTCTTGTTTGTTCTGCTCTTACACTTATAATGTCTAACATAAATGCATGAAATTTGGTACACAACTCTCTATGTAATATGTAGTTTATGTTTGAAAAATCATTGGGTTTGGTCTTGGTATCATATTTTCGGTTTTGAATTTAAAAAAAAGTGTTTTCAAATGTTGTTTAAAAAAACATTAAGGAATACTTCATCTCAGGGTTTGTTTTCTGTGTGCCTAAAATCATGAAAATGTATCCAATAGTTATCTTTTTAATAATAACATATTCACTTCTCATGAAAGAATATTCTTGTATTTTTTAAAACATACATAATACAACACAAAAAGGTTATCAAAAATGAAAACACCATCAAAAGAAATTGGAAAAAAAAAATCCCAAATTTGACGTTTGTTCCTTAGAATCCTTTGTTCTCCACTACAAGAACTTCTGCTAGTCAATTTTTTTGGAACTCATACATTACTCCTTACCCAAGTGTTATTTACTCTACAATGACACACACAGAAAAAAAAATGTTTTCTATCCAATCATGTTTAGTCATTGGTTGTATCTTGTTTGGAAGCTAAGATTTAATAGTTACTGTCCAACCCAATTGATGTGGCATCATAAAAGCCTCTCAACACAGTTTTTTTTAAAACAGTCATTGAGAAGAAAGTCACATGAGGAACAAAACCTTGGATATGTTTACTTCTAAAGGATTACAAAGCCTGAATAAATATAAACCTATACCTTGGAATGGGCAAAAAAAATCTAAAAATGTATAATGACTTTGTTTACGTGTGAAACTCATTGGAACTGCACAGAGATCACAACTCAAACACGTTTTAAAAATTTTCTTTGCAAATCTCCCCAAATACATTTTGCAGTTATCAAATGACAATTCTTAGATATTTTCAAGCAAAACAACTATATTTTATATTAATTTTTGCCATTATGCAACATTTATTTAGTGTACTTAACAAACAAAAAAAAACAAAATGTTCCAACTTTTATTTCTGCAGCTCTGAAAAGTTACCAGCAAACATCCACTAATTTTTAAAAAATTTTTCCTGCTCATCATAAAGTAGTTTATATCGATGAAATTATCATCCTTGAAAATAAACTGATTTGTGTCTTATTTTTCTCTTGAATTTCCTTCTCTGTCACTGATTTTATTATTACAGCCCTTTGTTCTCGCCTTCTTTTTATGATGTCACTGAATGTAGTCTGAACAATTACTAATAAATCTAAACTTTGAAAACAGCTAGAGCCAATAGCTAAATATAATTGAATGGATGAAATACTAATTTATCCATGTCAATAAAGTGTAAGTAAAGTGGTCTGAGATATTACCTACCTGGAGCTCCTGTAAAGCTGAAGAAAAGATTCTAATACAAAGTCTACAGCTTTTAGTAACAAACCACAGATCTGAGAATTTTCTAGTTTCTTTAGATGTTATTTTTTGTTTGTGTCTGAATACATTTTCCTGTTAAACTATATTTGTTTGAAAGCTACAGAACTTTTCTACTATGATAAGATATCAAGTAAGTTGAGTTAGGTTTAGCAAGTAAAGTAAGTGAGAGCAAAATATTCTGATGACTCAAATCCATATTTATTGAATAATGTTGTTACATTTATTGCATTTAAACAATGCACAAAATTAAAATAACTTATTATTTACTGAAAACAATCTATGTTTATTATAAATTTATGTTCAATGATGAATATTGTTAGCAAAAATCACGTTAAAGGTAACAGTTACACCATTTTTAATGGTGAGCTCAAACATCACTAGTAAATTATCATTTTTTTTCTTTATTTTTATAATCTACAGGTAGAAATGGTGAAAACTTCAAATAGCAAAATAAAGTATCAAAAGAAATATTTTAACGAATATGAATCCAGACGAAACTTACTGGATATATAAAATGGAGCTTTCTGATCAACAATTGAAAAAATTAGAAACTCTAAGATGAAAGAAAGTATTTTGAATGTTGTTGTTTCATTTTTTCTTTTCAAAACAGTGTCTTACAACAAAATTTGAAAATTTCACAATCTAATAAAAATGATAGATATACTAACTCAAAGTACAGAAACCATTTAGTAAGTTCTTACTGAATTTCTTGCAATTTGATAAAATACTTCCATTGTGAGAGCGAAAAAAACAACCAAAAAAACAGGTTGTATCAGTGACATCCCCTCCAGTCCAGAAAACAGTAAATACAATTAATGACAGAAGAATATCAAGGAAAGCATTAGAAGCAGTAAAAACTTGTTTACTGTTAAACAAAGCTACACATTAAGCTATCTGTGCTCTGCCCACCATGGGTTTGAAACCCAATTTTGAGCATTATATGTCCTCAGACTCACCACTGAGCAGCAGAAAGACTAGAAGTAAAAGAGAAAATGTCTTGTTGTATAATAACCTATTAACCTAAGTGAAGTACTATTTATATTTAAAAATTAAATATTAAATTAAATTATAACTTTATAACTTGTAATAACTTTTGAGAAATCTTTCTCTTTCTTTGCTAAATTGGAAATATGCATTTAAAAATTATATTAAGTAATCAAACATGTTGAAGTAAGTAAAACTTAAACAGCTATAAATAGTTAAAAATTTTAATATTTCATTAATAAGAGTAGTCCAAGGTCTCTTACTTTTTTTAAATTTCAAATAGCCATTATATTTTCTGAGTGTGTCATACAAACCAAAAATAAAATCCTTTGATATCAAATACACGAAAATTAGTTGTTTATTTATCTATCTACATAATCCAATAACCATCTTACCTTTTTCTGGAAGCTGTACAAGAAACAACTTCTTGTGTTCTTTAGGTTTGGTAATATGAGGTGGTATATAGGGGTACTGGAAATAAATGTAACAACATCAGTATTTTAAGAAACAGCTAAAGTTTGCGCAGAGTGGTTTGTTAAATATATATTTTTTTCTTAACTCTCAAATAGTGTAATTCTTTATACAAACACTTTCTGAATTACATATCTGCCTGTAGTATTGGGAAACAATTCTATATGATGCCTCTGAAGAATTAAGACATTAAACTCGTATCTAAATGATATCTCAGGGCTCAATTTCAAGAAAATTTCCAGGTTGTCCAGAAGGCTGTATTATTTGTCCCAATAAAAACAACAGACCCTCAAAAAAAGATCTAATTATGAGAATACTGATATACAAAGACCCAATTACAAGAAATTTGATGTTTTTATATCTTATTTATTTCTAAAAAGAACAATTAATATTTAGTTAATAATTCTGCATCTGTATTCAACTGGATGTGCCTCCTCCTCTCTGGGTCCATGGGGTTCCTGGAAGAGCCATCTTTCTCACTCTGAAGAATGATGCCAGAGATGTACAGCAATGGTGGGGTCAAATCTCCCCTGCACTCATAACAGATGGTACTACCCCTCACTTCCTTGTCCCAGTCATAACATATGGAATACGTCTAATTTTTGACACCTTATTTCCCAGGAAGTTTCATTACATTGGAAAAAATAACCCAAACCAAGTTAATGTTACATAGCACCTTAAGGAAAAAACAGCAATGACCTGTAAAACTTTTAAACAGCACAGTAATCTTGGCCAATCAAGTTCAATGTTTTCATTCTAACCAGCTTGGTCTTCCACCAAGTACAGTAAAGTACAGCCCATAGTAAGACTAGACTTACATCGAAACTCTCACACATACTACTATACCATAATTCATATACAATGACTGAGCACTGCACATGTACACACACACACACACTGCTGATATGTACTGTCGTTCATACTCGTAGTTTCTATTGACCTGGAGAGAGGCAAAACTAGCCTTATTTTATTTATTGTTATTCTGTTTCATACTGATCAAAACTTTCATAAAATTTTGTTTGCAGTTATCATTATTATGCTCTGTTAAGTTCGTAAATTTTCCCGTTTTTCTCATGGTAGCTAGACCTTCAATATTTCCTAGACTCTATTGGTCATGTTTGTCTAACATTAGCCTTAAGCCTATACGCGCATAATCGAAAGGGGGTCAGTGTTTCAACTGTGACAATTAAGAATGAAAATTCTGAGTTTGATTTTGTTAATTTTTGATCATTTTAGTTACTATCGAAGGTTTATCGGTAAGAAGTTGAGACGGCCATGTTAGATTTGTCGTCGCAAGCATCGATATTAGAAATTAATCTCACCAAATGAAAACTCGTGCTTTCGGCACTTGTTTTCATTAAGAATTCCCACCCACCCATATATATGCATACAAACATCACGCCATACAATGTGTGGTAATGTACCTAACTGAGCTGTATACACTGTACTGTGTAACCACACAGCCATTCATGCTCAGTTGAACCCCATACAAAGCATAAAGCAGCACAGAGGTGCAACTTGACCACAACAGAAAGTCTAATGTCTAGAACAGCATTATTAGCCTATCACAAAATCAAACTTTTCTTAATATTTTCAGCCCGTTTTGGTAATTTGTTCTAACATTTCTCTTGTAAAAAGTGCAACTGTTTAAAAACAACAAATGTTTGTAGTACTATGGTACGTTACATTTCTCTAGGAGATATACTGATGGTAAAAAAAGGTTGTATATATATATATTTGACCAAAAATATTTACTGCTACTAGTCTATATTTCCTAGTGTAGTAAATAATGAAATGACTAGAAAAATATTAACCTGTGGAGGTTCAAAATTAGGTCTCCACCATCTTCCTACAATATCTTCAATAATCCACTCTTGTTTAACCCCATCTTGTCGTCCTAAAATCTTATAGATGAAAAAAGGTGAAAAAATAAATAAAAAATAGCACAAAACTCTTTAATGTATTCTAGCTTAACACTTATTATAAATGCAAATAAATTGCTTTATAAAACAACATATATTGTACTCACTCATGAAATGGCTGTTACAGATTTATTTCAAATTGAAAAAAATAAAACCTAAAAACTACCTCTAAAATCATATATTTTAGAAATAATATCAGTAAGATATCTGTCTTTCTAATAGGTTGCCTCAGAATAAGACATATCATACTATATGGGAATATAATAAATAGGTTGAAATTAAGCTAAACATTTAATCTTTAAATACTAGGTTGGGTTATATGTGACCCTAAGGTATTTTTGTTTATTTGTAACCAATTTTCTTATTCTGTTATGATCTTGAATTATTTTTTCACTCTTGATACTTAGAAAAATGTTTTTGGTTTGTGTGACCTCCATAAAAAAAATCACCCGAATAGTTAATGTTATTTGCCACAGTAGAGTTATACCCCTTCAACAATAGGTACAAAGCCACTGTTTTAAGGACTTAGCAATTAAGTAAACTTTTAAAAAGTTAGCTGCAAGAAAATAAATAACACAAGTGAACTGAGATACAAATAATAAATAATAAATGTGTATTAATATTTATAATATGATTCAAAGGGAAACTAATACTGTGCAAAGCTTATTCAAACTGATCACGGTTGACAACTAAATCAACTCTATAATGTTTGTTTGCTTTTGAATTTCGCGCAAAGCTACACGAGGGCTATCTGCACTAGCCGTCCCTAATTTAGCAGTGTAAGACTAGAGGGAAGGCAGCTAGTCATCACCATCCCTTGGGCTACTCTTTTACTAACGAATAGTGGGATTGACCATCACATTATAACGGCCTCACGGCTGAACATATTTGGTGTGACGGGGAATCGAACTTGCGACCCTCAGATTGAGAGTCGAGCTCTCTAACCACCTGGCCATGCCACGCCGTCTATAATGTAATGGTTTATTTCTGTGCTTCAACAAAATGCACTGTGTAGCACTAAAAAAGTATTTTTTAATGTGAAATTTCAAAATAACATAATTTTTTTTCAAGGAATTTAATACCACAAATCCTTTTGCCTGTATCAACAGTCACACATGGCAATCAAAACAATTAGGTTTAAAATACATTACTCACAGTAAAAATGTAGAAATATGATGTGCTTTCAACATAAGCACACACATATACCATTCTGTCGACTCACGTTCCATTACTATATCAAGAGTGCAGATCTAAGTCGAATTCTAATCATTTTATTCAGCCTACTAATTTTTTGTCCAATAATTTAACTTTTCAATTTATAATGAAGGTTTGATCACAGGTAATGCAGTACATTTCAATAATGCTTTCAATATAAGCACACACATATACCATTCTGTCGACTCACGTGCCATTACTATATCAAGAGTGCAGATCTAAGTCGAATTCTAATCATTCTATTCAGCCTACTAATTTTTTGTCCAATAATTTAACTTTTCAATTTATAATGAAGGTTTGATCACAGGTAATGCAGTACATTTCAATAATGAATTTTGTTTTTTGTAATTGGCCGACTAGCTTTGTTTTGACATCAAATTACTGATTAATGGAATTTTCTTTAGTTAGGAATTGTAAAGCTTCAGTTTCTACCTGTATATATTTATTTTAAAGTTGCTCTCCTTCATTAAAATTAGTATTTTCTTCTTATACTGAGATTATACAATAAAACACAAGTTTTCAGCTATAACTACTGTTGAACTACTGATTTTGATCGCCTGAATTCTTATACCTTACAGAAGCAAAAATACTAAAATCAGTATAATGAAATCCAACTGCAAAAGTTACCTAACATACATTTTGCTAATTTTAATTTTGACATTCAAATAGTTAAAAGTGAACCAATGAAAAGTATAGCTTCAGTGTGAGTTAATTTCACCAATTATTAAGGTTTCTTCCTTGATGGTTAACTCTTTGGTGCCTGGCTAGGTACACCCACTGCTAAAGGTATTCTTAGGTGCCAAGACGGGAGTACCCATTTCCCAAGGTCTAAACTGAACCAATGAATTAAAAACTCATAGAAACTCAAATACTCTAAGAGTTAAAATTTACTCAATAGAAAAGTTTTACTTCTGTAATTTTATACATAAACCTTTTACAAAAAGGCAAGTTTTGATTTTCGTATTGATTTTAGCATACTCTGAACAAAAATCATGAGGATTTGTGATTTTTCCTAATTTTTTCTCAGCAAAATACAGCACTCACAGCCACTTGGAGAAATAATAGTTTTGAATAAAAGAGCACTAATTTCACCTTATAATCTGAATACAGGTGCAGTTTTATCAACTTTTAGCCAATCATTGTTTCTCAACCTTGGTTGTCATGGTGTGATGTAACTGCCTATATCTCAGCTTTGATAAGTCATACATTAGTGATCTAAGCATATAATGAAAACTCTTTTACTGTTCTTTTCAACCGTATAAGCAGATATGGCTTATTTTAGCAAGGATACAAGTAGAGATTGGAACAAAATAATAAAAGCTTAGCTTGGTGATATAATGCAAAACAAAAATTTGTTTGAGATCAACTTTCACTACAATTACAATTTTGCTTTTTTGTTTAAAGAATACGAAAAAAATTTGCTTTATCATTTTATACCTCATTTGAATTAAAATGCTGCAGTATGATAAGTTTTTTTCATGGAGCAAGATGAGACAGACTTAGTTATATCGTTTTGCACTTGACTATATCAAATTTCATTTCACTAACAAGGCTGCTAAGTTAGGGTTTGTCTACTTTAGGCCTTAGTGGCCTAAGTAACAACTTGAATGCACAAAGAAAATTACAGAAACAAAATTAAAACAATGCATATAAAAGTACACTGAATGGGTTTAAAACTTTTTTACATTTATTAATTGAAACCTTCTGATTAACAGTTTAAAACAAAATCTCAGCTTGCTTAAGATTGTGGTATGGTAAAAAGCTATTTTTAATGTATGCCGTGATCAAATACACAGTGAAACTGTGTCACTTGTTTTTTGAATCGAAACAAAAATAAAAACTTTATAGAAAAGTTTTAAAAGAAAATAAGAAACTTAAACATTAAAAATTAACATATACAACAAAAGTAAACATTTTGAATTGTCTCTTAAAACACACCACAATGAAATCTTTGCAAAATTTCAAAGCTGCAAATGAACACAAATATCACTTATAAAAAGTTTGATATTTTATTTGCAGAAGCTACACAATCTGTTAGAAAGTTTCAAACTATTTCATCCAGAATGTTTTTTTCACAATGCAATATAACAAACCATACAACAAAAGCATTGACACAATGCAATATAACAAACCATACAACAAAAGCATTGACACAATGCAATATAACAAACCATACAACAAAAGCATTGACACAATGCAATATAACAAACCATACAACAAAAGCATTGACACAATGCAATATAACAAACCATACAACAAAAGCATTGACACAATGCACCTGACATATTTAAAGAAAAAAGTATTTACCTCTGCCATTAACCTCTTCAATCCTTCTACTTCATCTTCACCAGCACTAAGCTCCCCACCAGGTCTGAAAGATAAATAATGAATTGAAAAATTGATAGGTACATAGGAATATATATATCAGGCTCACTAGGTTTCTATAGATGGTAAAGAATGATGCCACAAAATTGAGTCACCTCTTTTCCTTTTTACTTCACAAAAGCTAATTGGGTTTTTGAATATATCTGAAAGTTGAGGATTTTTTTCAATTTTTATGAGATTCTGGTTAAACCTTATTCAAATCCTGAGTTAAATATTATCTCCTTATTATAAAATGAATGTCAATATCCTAGTAAGGCAACCGAAGTGGTACCAATTCAAAAAATTGTAACTACTAGGAGAGATTTAAACATTGCTTCTGAAGAGCTCCGAATTATTTGATTCTGATGCTCAAGAATGAATGTTACGAGTTGAATATATTTACTTGTGAGAAGACTTTTATTCCTCAACTTATAGTTTGAACTGCAAAGAAGACTATTGAGTTAATCAATAAAAAAGCATCAAAACATGTTAGGTTTAAAATTCTACCATAAATGTTGCTCTAAGCAAAACAAAATTCAGTGGATAAAGGACTCAAAGTATTTTTTTTTTGGGGTAAGTTGCATGAGAATTCCAATTCTCAATCTTTGTTTTGTATGTTATTTGGCATGTTTGTGCTAAAATTCTCCTTTTTAAAACTTTTTATATTCATCAGTAGGACCATACCATTTTCAATCAATTAAAAACAGAAACTATAGATAATTGCAAACATAATTCTAAACTTTGAACCCCCTACTTTCTTGGTTTGCTAAGATATCATTAAATTTGTGAAGCCCCTCCCCTCCTTGTCTTTTTATACTCATTGCTAATAGTCCTTGCTGATAAATTATACACTTAACAAATATTACTACTAAAGTTAATTTAAGACTCTGACAGACAAGAAAATACATGAAATTATGATTATAAATATATTCAAATAAACAAAACAAAAATCATCAAAAACAATTGCAGAGTTTTCCAAGTATAGCAGTTAATGTCAGAAATGACAGTTTAATCACTTTTAATAGCAATGTTGTTTTCAGGAGCCTAAAATTAGCAAATCCCTGTTTAGGTATATTTTGATAAGAAGGGAAACCAAAAAGTAAAATGTAGGCTGTGCCCTGCAGAGCTCAGTTACAGGGGCAGTATGAGAGCAAGTTAAACTATATCAAAATGAAGCTTCCTGATAGGTCTAGGGCAGAGGACTAATGTATTCTAGTAATCCTAGCATACTATTTCTGCAATAACGTGATTAATGCTCACCATCGAACCAAAACAGTTCAATAACCTTCCCAGATGCAATTAGTTTTCATGTTTCACTATTCTTATATGTTTATAGAATTTACAGAAATAATGGTATTTTATATATACATATAAACCTATCTGTTACAAGAAAGTAATAAACCTTTCTAAATCTTTTTTAATTGATATAATTGTAATTATATGTTTAAAAACAGTTTTTAAAAAAGTTTAAATGTTTAATACATGAAACAGAATCCATCACCCCTAGTTTACAACAATGCTGGGGCCTTAAATATTGTGTCTATAACTACAAAGTTACTCAAATGCTTCATAAACAATCAAAGAAAATGAATAACCATAACTTTGTTTTTGGCGAACAACTACTCAGCCTAAGTAATAACCTAATCAATTTTTTTATATTTTACAAATATCATAAATTTAATTCAAACAACATAAAAATTAGAACAACAACAATTTATTTTGTAAAATAAAACTAGAAAGCATATTCTGATAATATAGTATTATTGTGTTAATAAGTAACAATGTTTATCTTCTCCACATTAACTGCAATAATGTTTCATTTTTACATTGGTATAATACCAGTTAACTTCTTAACAGTTGGCTATATAACACCATATCCACATTTTCAGTATTTTTTATATGATGGACAAAACTTCCACTATAATGATAATAATATAATATTATGGTTTATTCAGTGTTGACCATGTGGTACCGAAGTAACTTAAGTAAGTCAAACAAATAATCTAACCTATATAAAAGCCAGTGTGTTTCACATCACACTTGATTTCTCTCCATTTCTCAAAATAGGAGGAGTCATAAAAGCCAAACTGCATTTATCCAGATAGAATAGTTCAACTACAGTTTGCTCATTACAATTTTAGTGACGGGGTGCAAGGGGGCCATGAAACTTTATAAATGTAGTGATGTTGGTATAATAAGCCTAAAGCCAAGATGTAGTGTGAGATCACCTAGCCTAGAGCCAAGTGCATAAAGTTTATCATGAAATTAAATTATTGATTCAGTTTAAACTTAAATCTTTTCTGAATTAAGCGTTTTTAATAAAAACGCAAACCTCTTTAATCAACGGAGATTAAGTTAAGAAATTAACAAATCTTTTTTCAGTTTTGTTGCCTATACATTTCATTTCATACTTTCAGTATATAGACTAACAATAATATTAGGTTATACTTTTAACATCAAAGCCATTGTTGGAACGTAGTGTTACCAAAATGCACTGGCATTTCTATATGTTAGAGGTTGTTAATCTAACTGATTTTTAACAATAATTATTCTACAAATATGCCATGAATTCATTTCATGAATGATCTTAATTTTGATTGACTCACAAAGTATTTACTGGCATCTGACTTCTTCAACTGCACTTTTTTGACTCTTTTTTGGTCAAGCTTGATTTCACAAAATTTATTTATTTCAATTACCTACAAAATGTTAGGGTATGCTATCAGGTAGGGTTGGGGGTGGTACTACTTGCCCCATCATTTTTGATGGACTATACCTACCCTCTAGACAGCAGCTCAAAATTAGTGACAGTAGCACACACATGTATTTGCCTTAGTAGCTGTACAATAACAAAGACAGGATGACCAAGTTTAGTTGCAATGGGAATCAAACCCAAGACCCTCAAATTGTTGGAATAATCAAGAACAGTAAATTATCAGAAATCATAATTTTGATTAGTTGATTATTTTTGTGGCAATTTATTTAACAATAATTTTGATCAACTAATTAATGGAATAATTGAAAAGCGTAATAATTAAAAATAGTAATTTTGATTAGTTGATTATTTTTGTAACATTAACTGATGAATTATAATTTCGATTAGTTTACAAGACACTAATCAATGGAAACGCTGCTCCTTGGTAATCAATTATATTGATTAATCAATTAAATTGCTCAGCTCTACTCAAAACAATAAGCATTTTTATAACATTACTAAAAATTTCTACCAAACATATTTCATCAAATTACATTTACCTCTTAATATTCTAAGCTTAATTAAGCCCTAAACAACATTCATCCATATATCAAGCTGCATACAGCTAATAACGACCTTCATACATATGAATACCAAAACTATCAAGTGACTGGTAATTATTAATCACATAACAAAAAATGTACTCTTAAGTTTTTGTAACCACACTTGTATAAATTTCATCTGGTACCTTCAACCAACAATAATACCAACTTTTGTGATGCTCCCATGTACCAAATTTTAAATGTTTTGTGCAATTCTACCCATATATTACACTTTTGGTCAAATAGATGTAGTTAACACTGACTAAATAACACTTACAATTTAAAAAATGTGGTTCCTAGTTGCAATAAAAGTACATGTGGAAGACCATGTTCATGGACCAAAAGAACACCTTCCACTGAATGCCTCATTCCAATCTTGTCAAATTCATTCTTCATTCGTTGGAATCTTGCAGGTACAGAACTGTCTCTTTCAAATAAAGGCTCTTTAGTTCCAAATGTATAGTTAGTTAAGGGATACCTAAAATATCAGCAACAAAATCAAAATATTTTAGACACGTTACACTAAAAATTAATTCCTCAAATTCAGTTCTATCACCTTGCCACATCTTATGCTATATTCTCATGTCCTTTTTAGATTACAATAGCCTAAGTTATGTTCAGTGTATCTTATATTTATGTGTAAATTAATCATCTATTAATCATCTACATTAAAGCTTAGCATGAAGACAAACTTGGGAGCATACAAGTGTGCCACTCATGTTCATTGCAAAATAAGACAAGCAATTTTTATTTTCTCCCTCAGTTTTTACCATTATCCTTTGTCTGTTTGACAAGTATTTTTTCTCCCAGATCATTTGTTTTATTGTTGAAAAAATACTGGGTGGATTTCAACGGATCCGGAACATTTTAAATTGTGAAAATGTAGTACATATGAACAAATATTTATAAAATATGTACTTTTAAACTATATACACACATATATATATATTCCCTTAATTCACAAGCTCTCAGTAGCATGCTAGCGAAAAATGCACTTCAAAGTAATACTATTATAATATTACATTCCTTAGGTCTACAGTAGGGGCCCAGTAAAGTTTGAATGCCAGCTCCAGGAAGAATGTATGATGTAACAACAATTAAATAATGCTTTAACCTTATACATATATATGATTTCATACAGATATATGATATCAGGCAATAATATTCCACCGTCATATGCTCACCTAACTTACAAACTTATACATAAAAATATATAATATATATTAAGCACCATACTGTTGAAGCAGGTAGGCGGCAATGATACTTTAACACACTAACATGCATATTCATCAGGTCTTGTAACTGTTTCAGTGTGTTATGTACAAAGTAAGGAAACTGAGATAAGACATAGGGCTCTACAGTGTATATACATGCTCCTAAATGGTTCTTGGCTCCTGAGATGCCAGAATGCTGAAATCTGATTGACTGGTTTTTGAGTACTTGAATCTGCTAATTTCTAAGCCTGAGACTCTATTGAGAACTGCTTTTCTGTTTTCAATGTGATTTGTTCTTGTTCTGTAGTTGTTTCTTTGTCAATGGTTTCACAGCTATTCTAGTAAATTTCATGTCCAGTATCTCAGTTGTAATACACAAAAATATCTGTAACTCATGACTTAAGAGATACAGAAGAAAATCAATTTAATGAATTGTTAATCACTGTTACATTCAGATAATAGCCAAAAAAAAGCTGCTTATCCTTCTTGAAGATCTTGTGAGACTTCTTTGCTCTAAGTGGACTCCATCATATCCTAAAAACAAAAAGGAATTTAACAAAATGGGATGATGATCAAAAGATCCAATACCTAAGAGTATGATGTGGGAGGAAAATGGGATAACCCTAAGAAAAACCCACTTTCAATGGATGGATGCCAAACACTCTACTTAACCAGTGCCCAAACTGGTACCTAGACCAAGAAACTAACTCACATTAGATAAAACAACAGTGGATTAAGTGACTCAGCATGCACTTATATTTGGAGATTGATGGGGCAGTAGTGAACTAAATACTTGGCTAGGAAATTTAACGATTTCTTGAAAAGTAGTAGACAGCTGGCTTTGGAGTGTTCTACTGATGAGAGCATTTTTGGTGATGTCCTTCAGAAGATCTAGTTTTTGGTGGATGTCATTTGGAAGTGAGTCAAGCCACATGTACAGGCAATCTGTAACATTGTATTCTTCCTTGTCAGACAAGAAATCTGAGGATTAAGGTTCCTGGGTAATAGCTGCTTGTGTCTGCCTTTTTTCTTGATGTTTGTCTTCTGGGGTCAACAGTCAGATGTCAAGGGTTTCACTATGAGTGTTAAAGGAATTTTTCATTCTTCTGCTGTTTTTTTGTGTCTATTACTCATTACAAAGAGTTGGGCTGCTTTGTGGCTTCTATCTGATTAGTAATTTTGGCAACAGTTTACTGCTTTGTTGTGGACTACAGTTCACTGGTCTGGTAGTGGTCAGAATTCTTTTTCGAGTATGTTTCTCAGCCATAAAATGAAACTTATTCAACCATGATGAATAATTTTCTCTACTATCTGATGGAAAGTAACTACTGCCTTCATGAATAGGGTAGTTCTTCCAGTCATCCTAGATGTGACTCTATGGATGATATGGATTTTCAATGTGTCCTTTTCAGGTGCTTCTTTGATTTTATGAGTAGTGATGGATAGATTCACATTCCTCAGGAAAATGCTGAAGAAGCTAGAACTGCTTGCCACTGAATAGTACTCCACTTGAGTTCCAAGGGGAACAGAGATAAGCAAAGCCTTCTGGCAAATGTGGTTGAACAAAGAATCCACAATGATGAAGGCATCTGGTCTTCTTAGCAAGGACTCTGGATTTGGACTTATACTTCTTGATGAAGTCACAAATTTCTATGAAAATGTAGTGTTGAAAAGACTGTTGATAATTACAGAAGTGATTATGATTCCCTTCTCTGCTGCATTCCATGTATTCTGCCTCTTTTTCTCTCCGTGCCTATGTATAGCTCAAAATGACATTGGCATTGGACGCACTATTTATATTCTGTAGGTTTCCATGCCTAGTATCATTGTCAGGTTAATTAATTCATATTGTTGCAGATTAGGTGGATACAGATTTTCAGAAAGCATTTAACAAGGTGCCACATAATAAGCTTATTAAAAAAATTATCTGTAGACGTGGGGGATAAGTTGACTCATTTGATAGAAAACCGGCTAGATGAGAGAAAGCAGAGAGTTGTTATAAATTTGAGTTCAGTCAAACTGGATTAATGTCACAACTGAGGTACCTCAAGATTAAGTGTCAGAACCATTGATCTTTTTGATTTACATCAATGATGTAGATGGAGGAATGGTCAATTAATTATTTAAATTTGCTGATAATACTAAGGTTTTAGGTGTTACTGGATGTGAGGAGAAGGATGATGCTGCTTTACAAAAGGATTTGGTGATTTGGTTGAATAAATGGAAGATGGATATTAATTATAATAAATGCAAGTGGTACCTCATAATTTGAATTATGAGTATAATTTTGATGGGAATAACCTTAACAGTGTTATGGAAGAAATGGATCTTGGTGTTCTAGTTGATAAATCTCTTAAGACATCCAAACAATGTACTGTTGCTAAGGCCAGGGAAATTAGGATTTTAGATTACTTATACAGAAATATTGTATACAAGTCTTAACAGGTTATAATGTAATTGTATAGGGCATATTTTGACTATTGCATTTAGTCTTTGGTACCTTGCTTTAGGAAGGATATTGAAGGAAGATTCAAAGGAGGGCAACTAAGATGATATCTGGAATAGAAAGGCTGTTGTTAAAAAAGATAGGTTATGATCTTGGAATTCATTTTCTCTTGAAAAAAAAAAGAGTTAAAGGGATCTGTTTAAAATTGTTAAAGGAGTTGATTGTGTTAATACATTTATATTTTTTCGTACTTAATGGTAAGAGTTATCTTCAGGTAAGACAGTTATATTATTCTAACAGGGACTGACTTGCCTTGTGATGTGGTGAATGCAGTTAATCTAAGGGAATTTAAGGGAAGACTTGACAAATTTTGAATGACAAGAGCTGACCTTGAGCATATATTTTAAAGATTAGTTTAGTGGATGTGTTGGTCTAGATTGACCAATGAGTTCCTTGTTGTCCTTAAATTATATGTATGTATATAATGTAATGTACTGTAATTTGTAAGAGTAAGAGGTACTGAACTCGAGTTTCATGCTACAAAAAAAATGCTACAGGTTCAACACAACTTTGTGTACAATTACAAGCTTCTAACATTGTTTGAAATTTTGAGTATAACTAAAAGGATTATTAAGCCTTAAAGTTAAACAAGTTTGCATGCACATCCCCCCCCCCAAAAAAATTAGGTATTCTCTTTGTAACTATCATTACAAATTAGGCCTAGTACTACTATTTGCATTAATAGTATTACTATTAGTATTAAGCAGTAACCTATTAACCACGTTATTAATATTATTGCCTATTGTTACTTTATTAGTTATATTAATATTACGGTAAGTTGATTACTGCTAACAATAATACTTATGATACTAATAATATTAATACTGCTAGCTGTAATACTTGTATTAATCACACATATTATTATAACTTAAATAATTCATTAATTATAAATATAACTACAGTATAAGTCCTATACAATACAGTATAGACTAACTACAAGTTAACGTGTTTTAAATTTGACGTTTTACTTTTAAACACTCATCTATCATAGCAGCTTTATAAGTAATTGCTTCGTTCTAAAATATATACGTACAGATTAACAGCTCTGTTTATAGTTAACGACAAAAGATTACTGCTTTGAGTCATGTATTTTCCTGTCATTTGACTCTGTGTATTTCCTTTCGGCCATCCCGCCGCTGAACTTCTTCCATGTGACGCCATGTCAGTTGTATGGTTCAAAAGGCGATACACATTTGAAAAGAGGAAGTTTAGTATATAATCTGCATCATTTGAAATTAGATACATTTGAATTTGTTATCATATTAGGTAACAGTTTATTTATTTTTCTATTTATTTTGTTGATTAAACATATTTTACCAAATTTACCTCTGTAACATTAACTAATACGCATATTTTACTTCCGTTACCGCTCGTTGAGTTGGATTGTTTATAAGTATCAAAAGTATAAGTTTTGTACGCAACTCTCGAGAAAGTATTTATTATTAGCATGAATAACAGAAATGGTCGAGGTAGAAAACCAAAATCCCAAAAACCAGTGGTATGTATCTGTACGAAACATCTTAATTTACGATATAAACGACGGTTGAATACATACAAATCTTGCTAACGACCTTACTGTAATACACAAGTAAACATTACTTTAAGAACAATAAATTACACATAAACCCGAACTGGTCCCAATGGATGAGGAGTTCCCCAAAAACATCTACAAAGAAAATTTAACCTAAACAAGAGGTTGAATTGGGCATCGGACAGCAAACGGTGAAATTAGTAAAGCTACAGATGAATCCAAAAATCCGTATTTCTCTGCAAAAGTCAACGACAATTTGTTCAACAGCGGAAAACGATATCAAAGTCAATCTACAGTAAAGTGTGATGGGGAATCAGAAGAAGTCAGAGACTGTTTGTTTGTTTTGAATTTCGCGCAAAGCTACACGAGGGCTATCTGCGCTAGCCGTCCCTAATTTA